TCAGTCTCATTCTCAGCGTCGCTACTATCGTCACTTGAGCTGCTCTCCTCCTCTGAACTGCTCTCGCTGCTGCTAGGCGAATCGTCGGAAGCATCGTCGTCATCACTCTCGTCTCCATGGTCATCACTGCCTGATGATCGTCCGGATCTTGTCGGCCTCCGTGACATCGCACGCCTCCGTCTCCCCTCTTCGTCCTCCGAGCCCTCGCTATCACTACGGTGTCGTCGTGATCGTTGCGAACGCCCGTAACTACTTCTTGTTGCTTCTCTGCTCCGCCGTCGTCCGTGGCGTCGCTTCTCGTGCTCGTCCTCGTGCTCAGCGTCGTGTGGAGCAGATTGCAGATTCTGCACCATCGCGCGTAGCTCATCGATTGCCGCCGCCATAATCATCGTATCAGACTGCGGAGGCACCGCTTCACCCGGAATGCTCCTAGTGCCAGCAGCACTCCCAGCCGCTGACTCCTCTCCAGTCTCTCCGTGCGTGTTACCCTGTAACGCACCGGCGTCGTCTTCTCCATCGTCATCCTGTTCGTCGCGCTGTTCCTTCTCCTTTTGAGTCGCTCCTTGAAACTTCCCGATTCGAGGGGACGTCCTCGTCTTGACCCGCTTCACCCGCGAACTCCTCGACTTCGTTTGCGTCTTCGTACCTGCCATCTTATCTCGTGATGCACGCGTTTTCAGTCGTGTTTAGCCCCTGTATGACCACCATGAAACAGGCCAATTGTCTTGTCCGGCTGTGGGGCAGGTCGTACAGCTGCACCGTGCTGCGCTGCGTCGTTCGTGTCTGGCAGCCGATGACTCACTGAAATGTACTCTTCTGTTGGTCGGCAGGAACCACTTAGTTCCTGCGCCGGATCGTCCACTCACGTGTCCACTCCTATTTATATTCAGGTAGCTACTAGCCGACTTGCTAATACTACTTTGAGTCCTTCTACGAATTCTCACACTCCTCGCCCACGTCCGTCTCACACTCACGTACGTCTCCTCGCTCACGTACGCTTCCTTGCTCACGTCCGTCTCACACTCACGTACGTCTCCTCACTCGTGTACGCCTCCTCGCTCACGTTGGTCTCGCAATGCCTCGTCAACTCGCCGCACTCGTGTACGTCTACTCGCTCACGTCCGTCTCGCACTCGCCACTTGTTTCTCACGGCGCAAGTTTCCCACTGAGCCAGTCTCGCGGTCGTCGCACGCTCTTAAGTGAGCCCAAGCTCTGACGTGCTGGCTGACCCAGTGGTACTGCAATGTCACTCACTTCGTTCTGGCCCCCTACCTTTCGCATCCAAACGGCCGCAAAGCCGCCCTCTCCAGTTCTGCCCGTCCGGTCTTCCATGATCGCGGAGTCGGACGTGAACCACCTGTGCTGCCGATCCACCGTTGGACCATCTGCGTCGTGGCCCACACCAACCGCAGATTCGCTACAGTTTCATCAAAGTCGAGGCGATACCTCCATGTCAACTTCAGGAACTAAACGAACCATTAGCTATCATTGAATTCCGTTACTGTATGAGCAGATGCTAGTGTACAAAACCTGGATGGAAACGATACCCTCGGTCCAAGCGCATAGGTGAACGTCTTAACCCCCCCCCCTTGATTCGGAATGTTCGGTGCCACAGATGGGAGAGATTCTTAGCCGACCCTGGTCTCACTCGTTCCATGTACAACCACACACGACTCCCGACTACAAAAAGACCCGTCGCTCGAGCTTAGACGGGATCATCTTCTTGTGTCTGAACATCTCTACCCGCGCTCAAGCACGCCCCCCCCCCCCCCGACTGCAAAAATACCCGTCGCTCGAGCTTAGACGGGATTCCCATCTTGTGTCTGAGCATATCTGCTCCGCTCGACGCTACCGCTCGTCCTCGTCGGAGCGAGACTCTCTCCATCCAACCCAGCGTCTCGTTATACGATCGCTCCGAGCATCGTTCCCACGTGCTACATGACGCTGACGATTGCTCGTCGCATTGATAGCGTCGATGTCCATGTACTCTGGCGCAGATTCCTGAGCTGAAGCGTGCAGCGCGTGTTACGGGGCTGCCGTAGCTTTAGGGTCAGAGGAAGTATTAGTGACTCAAAGAGTCACTAATACTAAGTTCCTTTTCTGAAGGAACATGCAGCCCAAGACCAGGACTCAAAGTTAATACTTAAACTTTTATGCTTCAAAACCAGAAGGGTTTTATGTACTATTGTTGCGGCCAAGCCGCCTAGGGGTAAATTTATCTGTTTAACTATCTAGGATAGTTAGACCTATTCAAATGCATAACGTGTGGCTTTCAGCCAACGTACTAAGAGACCTTGTTAGGTCTCCAACTTATGTACTGATAGTTTGTTAACTCTCCAGGTACTTCGTACCCCTGTGTGCTTCACATAATGTAACCCCGTTACAGCACGTGAGCGTATGACGCCGCAACCACGTAGTCCTCGCGTCGTGCAAGGGCAAATGCCTCTTCGAGTGTAGAGGGATCCGATCTTGTAAGGCAGTAGCGCGTCATGCTATCGCGCATACCGTACACGAACCCATGAACATGAGAGGCCATAGCGATGGGCTTGGACACGATACACGACGCGAGGTGTCGTGTCTTCTGGACGTAGTCGCGCAAAGTCTTCGTGCCTTGACGAAGGGCGAAGAAGTTTGCCCGAATTCGGGATTCATCTTGCGGCGACTGGAACGCGAGCTGACGGTCACTCTGGAGGGCATCCAGAGTGGGGAAGGCCTTGGGGTCGGCGCCCAACTTGCCGAGGGCCCATTCGCTGGCCATCCCAGACAGCCGCTAGAGGAGGAAGTAGGCCTTCGCGGAAGGCGCCTCGATCTACCTCGAGGCGATGGCGATGTCGATCTCTCGAATCCAACGATTCAGCGGAAGTCGGTCTTCTCCGGCGCAGAGATAGTAGGTGGACCTCTATAGCTTCACGACGTCATTCGTGGGGATACGTGAGGGAGTTGACACTCGCCGATTTGTATCGGCGAGCTCGCGCTCCATCAATTCTTGTGCCGCAACGCACGGCTCGTCGGGCGTCGCTGAGCGCAGCACCGACATGAGGACGGCTGGCGTGGCTCATCTTGCATCGCAAGGCCCAGAGGCGGTTACCGCCAAGCTGGAATCGTTCTCACGCTACGAGAACGCGCTCTTGGAGCACGTCCAATTGAAGATGAGAGCCACAACGGCGGCGGAGGATATGACGCGTGAAGCGTCTATGAGACTGAAGCTGCTCATGATGAGCGTAAAAACCTTCAAGGGGAAGAATTGAGAGAATCTCCTTCTCTGAACCCCTGAGGTCGAGATGGCCATGGGATCGACCCTGCCCCAGTCTGAGCATCAGCGCGTGGCGCTGACTATCTACCGGCTTGGTGGACGCGCTCGCGAATCGGCACTAACGTGCGGCACGTCTGTTGACGCTGCATTTCCCACTTGGGAGGAAGCAACGGCTTTCGCGCGTGTTCGCGCTGCCTAATCAGGTGTACCGTATCCGGTCGAAGTTCCTTGCTACCCCCAGGGTAAGAAGATGTTATTGGACTATTTCCCAGCGCTGAGAACTCTTATCGCCGGAATGGCGGCGGACCCTCTTCCGGAATTGGTCACCGTGACCGTGTTCATGGAGGAACTTCGTGTGAGCGGAGCTCGAACGGAAGTGTTCCGTGTACCCCTAACTCTTTCAAGAGGCGGTGGATGTGGCATTGAATGCCGAGTACAACTTCAGGTCGGCTCGACCTGGTTGGAGCGCTGGCAGCACAAGCTCTTTGAGTGGTCTGGAGCCGATGGACCTAAGCTATGCTGAAGATCAGGGCATGGGAAATACAATACCCAGTGTTATTTTCGTGTGAATCACATCCGTAATAAAGACTGCAGTACCTGGCAACACAATAACAATCCCTGCAATAATCACAATATATTTCTAACACTTAGACTTCGATGCAACCGAGAAGGGTGGAGCAGTTCCACATACTGCGATTAGCACGAAAAAACATGGCCGTTTCAAAATTAGCTGGTAAAGTAGATGAACGTAGCGATGTAAAAACAAGCTTACACTCAGAAAAAAAGTCTCTCACACGTGTTGCTTGTCGGCGGAACGCAGAGCAGGAGGGGATCATACTCGACAGACGCCTGCGATGCAAGCCGTGGCTTCTTGGCTTGCCGGAGGATGGAGGTCGCGAAGTCGGCCGTAGCCGGCACTTCCTCTTGTGCGGTAGACGGAGATAAATGAAGCTGTCGACTGCATGTAATGCATCCGCGGGGAGGATTAGGTCGTTTTGCAGCTTCACTATTGTAGACTCGAAATGGGGCGAGTGAACAATCTCAGCTGTTGGTGCCAAGTAGCTAGCCATCCCAGGATACTTAGCAGCACACGCATCAAACAACAGGCGCACCTCGGCAAGCGTGCACACCTCCGCTTGTAGTTTCACACACACACTGTCCAGCTCACAAAGCTTGTCTACTACACCTTTAACGCGGCGGTGCGCATGGCCACGAGGCACAAACGCTTCAACAGCCTCCACCGTCAGGATCGCATCACGAATCTTGCAATATCGGTCAATCATCTGGGATGTAGACGACCAGCGCGTAGTGTTTGCCTTAACAAGCTTGTAGTCGGTTGCCCTTGCCAGTGCAGTAGCATTTTGGACATGACGCAGCTGAATCATCAGGTTTTGAATCAGATCTATCTGAGTATGATAATCATGTAGAGATCGATTAACCGCGAGGTTAAATCAATGACTTGCACAGCCAATGAGGGGGACGCCCATTCGTGTAGCCATACTCTGGTTGCACAATTGTCCCCCACAATAAAGCGCACCATCTGCAGGTTCTTCTCGTACACACTCAGTACGGTGGATATATAATCGAGGTGGGCTTCAGCTGTCTGGCCGTCTTCCATTGGCGAAATCGCAAGAAGGCGCTGGTGGCGCACACCATTGTAGACGTAGATCGCGTAGATACCGAGGAAGTGGAGTGAGTGACTAGTCCAACCGTCGAACATTAAAGCAAAGGAGGTTCCCATCTCCTTTGATTTAATGCGGAATCGAACCAGCGACCAATTGGTTTCCGAGAATACTGAAACACAGTATAGAACACTACAGTCAATCGCTCTACCAACTAAGCTACACTCGGTCCTAATCCAACAACCACGCAAAACAAACAAAAAACTTGCGCACGCTCCTACATGCACAACCAACACCTCTACATCATATACCACGCAACCACAACCTGCCACGCATCCTCACTACCTGCTTCACGCACCATCAAGCGCACAAGTACTCGCAGACGACCAGTATGGATCCATTTCTGATTAGATCTCCCTCGCCGTCTAGTAGTCTCTACCGACACTTAATACGACCGCAATGTCCCCACTCACACCATAGGCTTGCCGTAACGCCTCTTTGACGAAAACCAAACGTGGTAAGTGCTGGCGTCTGCGTGGCATGAAGTTCTGCAAACTCAGCAGCATACCCAGCGTACTTGCTATTAAGATGGCTGAGGAGGTTGCTGTACCCCGTGCCGGGCGTATGCTTCCGAGGAAGCCCACAGTATTTACACTCAAAGCGACCTTCGCCGAAGTCCTTGAAGTAGAATGCGCAGCGTTGACGGGAGGTCATCGTGGGTAGCGTGGCTAAGCGCGGTGGCTTGTTCATTAGATAGGAAGTTGAGAAGTGGGGAGTGTGTGGATCAAAGCGCGCAGAGTGTATTTGCAAGGCAGTAGAGAACGGTTGGTTGTCAGCGCTCCTGGAAATGGTTGGAAGCGTGGAAAATATAGTATCAGTGTGTACAGTTTTGTATTCTATTTATCTTGGCAAAATCAATAGTAAGTTATTCCGTAAATATCATACCCGTAATATTAGTATTATACTACTTTTCCCATGCCCTGCTGAAGACGAAGAAGCGGGGCTTCTTGCTGCGGAGCAGCGCGCCGGCATCCACCAATGCTTTGTGTGCAATGACACTAAGCACTTGAGGGCCTATTTCCCTCTGCGCAAGAAGCGCGAGGCTCCGGGAAGCCAACCCGTCAGGTCATCACCGGAAAACGGTAACTCACAGTAGGCGCGGGGCGGCTTACTGGGGAAGAACTGAGTTTATTTGTGCCTCGAGGAGGTAGAGGGCAACGGGGCTCAGCCCCGACGAGAGCTGAGCTCCCTTACGAGAAGAGTGTATGCAAGTCGGGCTTGCTGGTCGTTCAGGCGAACGTGAAGGGCTTTGCAACGCCATGGAGAGTCTTAATTTACTCGGGAGGCTCGGGCAACCACGCCCGTCGCTCCACCCTGGAAGGGAGTCAGCTGTATGCTGAGGCAATGGAAGTTCCAACGAGAGATACGATCTCTGTCCGTCTCGCGACGGGGACACTGGTAGCTGTGTCGAAGATCTCTGTCGACCTTGGAGTGAAGTTTGAGAACTTCGATAGCGTGGAACGCCGTTTGGGCTTAGACCTCGATGCGAGGTATGACCTCATCCTTGGCATGGCATGGCTGGAACGCCATGAGCCATGGATCGACCGGAAGTCGAAACGCTGGGTGCGTCGCACCCTGCTTCTAGTGGAGCTTTGGTGAGTCATGAACCCACCTCTGCTAGGAAGCCGAAGCGTTTTTGGCGCGAGTACGACGCCGAGGCGGCCGTAGTGCTGGACATTGGGATGTCAGAAAGTGTTAGCAACGAGGTTGCTGTTTGCCCTGAGGGCGTACGTGGTGTGGCACGTTATCCACTAAGCGGTGCAGGTCAGGTCAATGACCAACTGCTGGGTCCTGGTGATGACGAACGCGGAGTGGCGCGTAATCCACTGTGTGGTATGGATCTGGTGATGATCTACCGCTGCGTGGCCCGAGGGTCGCGGTCGACTGCGAGTCGAGGCATCATGGGAGCGGCCCAGGAGATGCAGGTGAAGTGACTGAGTAGACTGTGTGAGGGTCAAGGACTTCTGTGTCTCAGCCGAGTGCCTTGCGCGACACTGTATCCTCTTCGAGGAGTGATAGTGCTGCTGCATCCGGTGGTGTTGATGGAGATGTCGCCACGCCGCCCTCTTCCGGCCGGCCTCGGTCGCGGAGGGGGAGGAGAAGAAGATGCAGGGCGTCTGTGACGTCTTCGACGTCGGACGAGGTGCCCAAAGTGACGGGCGGTGAGGCTCCGCGTGATTGCTGTGAGCCGTTGTACACACTCGGCAATGGAGTGACCGGGGATGTCAAAGGTGACATCAGCCTTGACACTCTGTCCGTTGTAGATGCTCTGCTAGAGCTGGACGCGATGTCCATCACCGAGTTTGGCGAAGCCTTGAAGTCAGGCGATCTAGCCGAGGTGGTCCTGCTGGGACCTGAGGAGGAGTTGAACTCCTCATCCGTCCTGGACGACGCGGTCCTAGTGGACATCAAGAAGGCTCTGAGCGCAAGAAGTGGATCGGGGATCCTAAAATATCCTTCGGATCCCTTCTACCCCGTGGTGAAGAAATATGGAGACGTTGTCTCGAAAGACCCACCGATCGGTCTGCCTCCGAATCGAGGCGTGTGTCATGAAATTGACCTGGTTCCTGGAACCAAAATCTGCGTAACAAGGCAATGGCCTTTGCCAAAAGCTCTGTGTGACATCATTGGCGCATTTTTCCGTGCGAAGCACGAGGCAGCGATGGTGCGTGAGAGTAAGTCTCCGCACTCGACACCCACGTTCTTTTCAGATAGCCGAACGGCAAGTCATGCTTTTAACATGCTAAATGCGGCCACCATCCCGGCGCAAACGCCGATTCCTCGCAAGGATGTTCTGCAGAACAACATGGTAGGCAGTATGTTGTTCAGCGCGCTCGACTTGGTCGATGGTTACTACCAACTCCTCATGAGAGTGAGCGACATTCCGCTGACAGCGGTGAGTACTACGAGCGGTATGCTCTGGGAGTGTTTGGTCATGCCCTAGGGGCTGTTGTACGCACCATCAACGTTCAATCGTCTTGTGACGCAGCTGTTTAGGCCCCACCGGGCGTACGCTCAAACGTACTTTGACGATATATTCGTCCATAGTCGTGCTGAGCACGGAAAGTCAGACGTGGAGAGCCACATTGACCACTTGCTAGCGGTGCTCGAGTGCATGTGCACTAATAAGCTGTATGCCAACTTGGATAAGTGCGTCTTTGGCGCGAAGGAAATACCTTCCCTTGAGTGCTTCATGGGGAAGCGTGGCTTACGGGAAGATCCTACCAAAGTCAAGGCCATCGTGGACTGGCCGGTTCCCAAGAACCAAAAAGACTTACGCAAGTGGCTAGGCTGAGTCAATTACTTGCACAAGTACAGCGCGAACTACGCGGAGATTGCTCGGTCATTATCAGATCTCCTTAAGAAGGACGCACCATGGTGCTGGGACGTCGAGCACGACGGAGCCTTTGCAGCTGTAGAGGAGAGCCTCGTCCCGGCTCCGATCCTTGCGCTACCGGACCCGGATCGTCCGCTTAGCGTCGTCTGTGACGCCTCCGATTTTGCAATCGGTTGTGCTTTACTACAAGCAGACGCCGAAGGGCGTGAACGCGTGTTTGCGTTTGACTCTCGCCAGCTCAATGCTGCAGAGAAGTATTATCTAGTTCATGACAAAGACCTACTTGCAAAGAAGTATGCTCTAGTCAAATTCAGGGTACACATGCTAGGCTCTAAGTCTTTTGTGAACTTTACTGATCATGCGTCGCTACGCACTGTGACACAGTCGCCTCATCTCTCTCAGAGAATGACAAGGTGGCTTTCCTTCTTTGCCGAGAACAACTTCGAGGTGAAGCACAAGCCGGGGTGGCTTAATGTAGTGGCCGATGCGCTCTCGCGCAGGCCGGACTACGAGTTAGCTCATGTCACGACAGTGATGTCGTCAGTGCCTGACTTAAAACGCAGAGCGTATGCACAGGACGACATGTGCGTAGCGCTGCTACGGGCTCTTGGGAGCGAAGCGTTTAAAGATTCATACAAGGAGTTGTCTGGGCGCTTACGCGCGAAGCTGCATCGATACTCGCTCGATGACGGCCTGCTGTACTACAGCACCGACGCTGAAGATAACCCTCTTGTAGTTGTTCTTAATGATGAGGATCTAACGTATCGAATCCTCTATGAGGTTCATGATACGCCCGTGGGCGGACACTTAGGTCGGGAGAAGACCTATGGCTCGGTGAGCTCGATGTACTGGTGGCCCAAGATGTATAAGTGGGTTGGCACCTATGTACGCATGTGTGAGACGTGTTAACGGACAAAGTCCGCGTTGAGCACGGCAGCGCCATTGGCGGGTTTGCCTGTCCCTAAGGGATGTTGGCAGTCCATGAGTATGGACTTTGTGTTTGGCCTTCGCAAGGATACGTCGGAAAATACGGTTATTGTGGTCTTTGTAGACCGATTGAGCAAGATGGCTCATTTAGCGGCGGTGCTGGATACCATGGATGGTGAAGGTACAGCTTTGGTGTTTTTAGTCTTTCGCCAACATGGCTTGCCTGAGGCAATTGGCTCGGATCGAGACCCGCGCTTCACCGCGAAGTTCTGGACGTCCCTCTTCAGAGTGCTCGGCACTCGTTTGGACATGTTCACAGCGAACCATCCGCAGACCGACAGTCAATCCGCACGAGTGAATCGTGTTGTGGAGGATATCCTCCGAAGCGTATGCGCTGAGGCGCCAAAACGCTGGAGCCATATGCTGCCACTCGTTGAGTTCGCATTAACAAATGCAGTGCACGCCTCGACAGGCTACACTCTGTTATATTTGAACGGCATGGTGAACCATCGCGTCCCACTGACGCCGCCACGCAGTGGCTCAGGGCCTAATGGGGGAGGGATAGCCGAGCAACTAGCTGATGTCAGCCCTGTTGCGGCTCGCAAGCAAGTCAACGACTTTTTTTTTAACTGAGCGTAATGCTTTAAGTACGCGACGCTATGACTGAAAGCCAAGACACGCAGAAGGGACATGCAGAAGCCAAGGGCAGAAGCAATGTTGAAAGGTTTGAGGTCGGTGATCAAGTTTTGACTAAATGCTAAAAACCTACCTACTCATGCAGTGTCTGCAGTCTTCAAGACGAAGCTAGAACCTAGGTTCATAGGACCGTTCAAGGTCGTGACCAAGAAGGGCCTAACGTTACGCTCAACCTTCCGAAGAAGATGCGCACGCATCCGGTCTTCTTTGTTGGCTTGCTTAAACTATATCAAGACCCTGCTCAGGTGAGCGCAAGCGCGCCAACGGTGGCTGGGCCACGGACAGCGGCAGGTCAGCACGTAACAGAGCCACGGGAGGCTGAACAACAGCAAGTGGTGGACCCACATCAGTCTGATCAACAGCATGTGGCAGAGCCGCAGGTCGCGGAGCGAAGGGCTCGAGATGCAGGAGCAAGGTCAGCTGAACGTTTAGCCGAGCGACTGGACGCTCAAGGTCCGAGGCCTGAGTGTGCGTCAACAGTGGTGGCTCTAACCTATCCACAAGGTGGATTATCGCTTCGATATAGACCGATGGATGATGACAGTGAGTGCTCGCGTCGTGGACGCCGGCGTCGTATTGACGCAGACGCCGTTCCGATAAGTGCTTACTCTCCCCGCGAGAATTCAGCTGAGGCAAGGCCTCCTCCCGCTCTGCTCGATGAGCAAGGTGAGCTCCGCGATCCCGTGGAACGCCTTGTGGCGCGGCGTAGACGCCAGGGTTGTACCCAGTACGTTGTGAAACAGAGGGGTTACCCTCACTCACAGAAAGCCTGGGAGTTTGCGGTTATTCTCCAGCAAGATTGCCCTGACGTCGTGGACGCTTACGACCGGGCACATCATGTGCCGTAGCGCCACAATGGCGTGCGACAGCGTCACCAGGCGCTGGGCGCCTCTCACTAGAGTGGGGAGCGAACAGGTCAGTAGTTGAGCTCAGGCTCTGACCAGTGGCTGCAGCAGCCAGCTCCTACGTATGAGCGGTGCTCGCAACGGGAGCAGGAGGTGGAGAGACCTCGTGGCGTTAAGGACATCGTCCGAAGGAAGTAGGTGCTTCGTGTTGTGCTGAACAAGGTTCAGGCACAAGCGTTCTGAAACGCATAGTCGTTTTGACACAACCTGCTCGATGAGCATGATCCAGATGTGGATGCGCCGTAACAGCGAAAGTGGTGTCCAAGGCGGGGATCGAACTACTGGCCTTTGGCTTTCCAGGCCGGAGCTCTACCATTGAGTTATAAGGGCGATGCCCGTAAGTTTGTCCGAGTACGGACTACTAATGATATGAGAGGGCTGCGCCCGGGTGGAATCGAACCACCGACCTGTGGCTTCCAAAGCCGAAGCTCGACCACTGAGCTAAAACGGTGTTGCCCTTAAGCTTGTCCAAGCGTGGGCAATCGTTCATGGAACGAGAGGGCGACGCCCTGGTGGGATCGAACCACCGACCTATCGCTTGTAAAGCGAGTGTTCAACCGCTGAGCTGTTGTCGACGACGCGGATGAGTCGAGAGCATATCTCTAAGCGGTTCGCAGCTCTTGGAGTAGGCGCGGAGCGCGAGCGTAGGTCTGAGACCGCTTGAGAACAAGATGCGCGGTGCGCTTGAAACATTGGGCCGTCGGCCGACGACGAGAAGGTGGGATGGGTAGGCGGTTGTGAGCTCGCGGAGCTGTACAACGCTGATGTGAGGTGTAGTAACCTTCGCCGTCTTAACAAGACGTGTTACCTCGCTGAGGAACGTTTCGAGAATGGAATGTATTCATCTTAGTGGGGGAGAGTGTAACGGGGTTACATTACGTGGAACACACAGGGGTCGAAGTATCTGGAGAGTTAACAAACTCTCAGTACGTATGTTGGGGAGTTACCAAGGCCTCTCAATACGTTGGCTGAAAGCCACACGTTATGCATTTGAATAGGTCTAACTATCCTAGATAGTTAAACAGATACATTTACCCCTAGGCTGCTTGGCCGCAACAATAGTACATAAAACCCTTCTGGTTTTGAAGCATAAAAGTTTAAGTATTAACTTGGAGCCCTGGTCTTGGGCTGTAAGTTCCTTCAGAAAAGGAACTTAGTATTAGTGACTCTTTGAGTCGAACGTCTTCCTCTGACGCTAAAGCTACGGCAGCCCCGTTGCACGCGCTGCACGCTTCAGCTCAGGAATCTGCGCCCGAGCACACGGACATCGACGCTATCAATGCGACGAGCCATCGGCAGCGTCATGTAGCGCGTCGGAACGATGCTCGGAATGGTCGTTCTCTCACCTGCTTCCGTTGCCGGAAGGTCGGTCATCGCGCGGCGGAGTACCGCGCGCTAGCTCCAGTGCTTTCGCATGTCGATGCCGAGCCCGTGAGTTCTGACCAGCCAAAAAACGGTCAGGGTTAGTAGGTGCGAAGCTCCCTACTAGCTTGAATGGAGGTCCGGGTCCCCCGGTGGCAGCCCAACCTCCCAGCCCTCCTGTGCTACATGCACACGTTCATGCTACCACCACGCCGAGCGATTCAAGATTGATCATTGTCAGTCTTCATGTCGCCGGTGCCTGGCGACCACTGCGAGCGCTCCTTGATTTAGGAGCGACCAACAATCTTTTTCGCGCGTCGTGCTTGTCGGTACTCACGTCGGACATCACTATCCGCAAAGGCAGAGGGGTGGTCGCTGTAAAGCCGGCCGATGGGAAATCTTACCGCGGTGCGCGGCGCAAAGCAACAACGACTTCCTCGTCATTGAGATGAAGTACGCGTTTGCCTGCATTCTGGGCATGCCGTGGTTGACGCGCTATCAACCAAACATTGCCTGGTTGGCCCGGTCGGTCAGGCGTCGCAGTGATTATGACATGAGCGAGGTGTTCACGCACCTTCTGGTCGCCCAGAAGGATTGGCCTCACGTCACCGCCGCGGGCCGGTCATCCACGACGCACGTTGTGCACAGAGTGATCAATGGTCCTCTCTGCACGGCTTACGCAGTGCTGTTAACTGACGAATCCCCGCGGCGAAGCGGGGATGAAGACCAATAGGCAGTCGAGCAGGGGCTTCCATCGACGAACCAGATGGCGGTCCAGCAGAGGCTCCCGTCAATTGAGCCGGTGGTCGAGCAGTTGGCGCTCCCGCCGAACACTTCCGCGGTCGAGCAGGGGCTCCCACTAGAGGGGGGGGGAGATCTCGTCCACCGAGAGGGACTCCTCATTCTCGAGATCGTACTCGAGGCGGCGAAAAAGAAGGTCCGTCCGCGAATATGAAGATGTCTTTCGGGATAAGATCCCAGCTCAGTTACCAGCTGACCGAGGAATTCGCCACGATATCGATCTCGTGCCCGGCTTAAAGTATTGTGTGACGCGGCAGTGGCCGCTTCCGCAAGATCAGGTCCAAGCTATCAATGACTTCTTCGAGAGCCGCTGCAAGGGGGGCCATGTACGTTAGAGCACATCGCCGCACCCCAATCCGACCTTCTGTTTGAAGAAAGCCACAGGTGGGTGGTTTATCGTCCGTGCCGTGAACAAGCTGAACGACGTTAATATTCCTGCCCAGACGTCGATCCTTCGGAAGGACATGGTGCTCGACGCAATGTCGGGTAGTGAGGTCCTTAGCGCCATCGACTTGACCGATAGGTTCTACCAAATCCTCATGTGGCTGAGCGACATACCGTTCACAGCGGTAGGTACGCCCAGTGGTAAGCTCTGGGAGTGGCTTGTTATATTAGAAGGCTTGAAGAATGCCCCCGCCACGTTTAATCGCATGGTATCCCATGCGCTGCGCCCGCTCAGCGATTTCGCACCGAGTTACTTCGACAACATCTTCGTATACAGCTGCGCTGAGTTCACTTGAAGCATCTGAGGCTGCGAAAACAAGCTGTACGCAAACTTAAAGAAGTGCATATTCTGTGCGCCGGAGATTTCGGTGCTTGGCTGCTTTGTGAGCAAGAACGACGTCCGCGCCGACCCCGAGAAAGTGGCGTCGATATGCGCGTGGCCTACGCCACAGAATCACACTGAATTGCGTCAGTGGCTGGGTCTCGCAAATTATCTTCACAAGTACACAAGGAATTACGCCGGATTAATCCAGCCGCTTTCTTCGTTGTTGAGGAAAAATGTGTCGTGGTCGTGGGCTTCCGCACATCATCCCGCCTTCGACTCGGTGAAGAAGAGTATCGCCGAGGCCCCAATCGTCGCGCCTTCGAATGACTCGAAGACTTGTCACGTCGTATGCGACGGGAGCGATTTCGCCATCGGCTGTGCGCTGATGCAATTCGATGATGAAGGCCGAGAGCGCATCGTAAGCTACCAGTGTAGTCAGATGAAGCCGGCGAAGCGCAACTACCCTGTTCACGACAAGGAGCTCCTCGTAAAGCGCTACGCTCTGATCAAGTTCAGACTGTACTTGTTGGGTGAGAATACGTACACCGACCACGCATCGCTGAGGCCAGCGATGAACAGTCCTCACTTCTCCCAGCGGATGGCCTGCTGACTTTCATTCTTCTCTGAGTACAGCTTCGTGGTGCATTACAAGCCCGGCAAGAACAACATTCTCGCCGACATTTTGTCTCGGCGTCCCAACTATGCCCACGCGGTGCATTGGGTCGACAAGCTTCGCTCGATGAAGGCAATATAGAGGAGTGTGCCATGTGCGAGGCGTCAGGAGTCAACCTGACGAGCGTCTCCCCGGTAATGCCACTTCGCGACGAAATCCAAGCTGCTTACGAGCATGACTCGACGTGCTCCAGTATCCTGGAGCATCTTCTCTCTCCCAGCGCCGATACACTGGGAGCCCTTTACCGCTCTGTACGAAACCTAATTTACCGGTATCGTCTCGATGACGGGCTGCTGACATACAGCATCGACAACTTCGATGCCCCACGTGTGGTTGTCCCTAATGCCCCGATCTGCGCTCACGGATTATTCATAAGTTTCATGATGCCGGTCGCGAGAAGCTGTTTGCCGCTGTGTTACGCGACTTTTATTGACCCCATATGTATAAATGGGTAGGTAAGTGGGTGCGCACCTGCGAGATCTGCGAGCGGGCGAAACCTGCTTCGTCTTCGCAGGCTCCCCTGCGTCCTCTACCAGTGGCCACCGAGGCCTGGCGCTCGGTGTCGATGGACTTCACCTTCGGGCTCACACCCGATGCTAAAGGATGTTCAGGTATCTTGGTGTTCGTCGACCGCTTCAGAAAGGTGGTCCACCTGATTCCGGTGCTGGATTCGATCTCTGCGGCATATACCGCGGTGCGCTTCATCAATGCGGTCTTCCGCCATCGTGGCCTACCTAACACCATCGTCTCCGACCGCGGCCCGCGCTTCACGTCGGCCTTCTGGTCAAAGTACTTCGAGTTACTGGGCTCGAAGCTGTTGATGTCCACGGCAGCCCACCCGGAAACGGACGGCCAGACGGAGCGCGTAAATCGCGTCCTCGAAGACGTCATTCGAAGCTACGCGACGTCGTTCTCCAGCTGGAGCTCGTTTCTGCCTCTGGCCGAGTTCGCGCAGAGCCATGCGGTACACGCGTCGACTGGGCTGACGCCCTTCTTCATTAACAACGCGCGACACCCGCGTGGCCCTGCTCTACTCGCCGTGGGACATCCCACGGTCTCGTGTGTCTCCACTCTGGGTGGGGAAGAAGCTACCGACAAGCCGTCTACTCCAGCTCCGATGGCTCCGACGGCAGCACCGGTACTGGGTCAACCGGTACATACACCGGTTGCTAATGATATCTCGAGTGTATCCCCAGTCCCCACGTCGGTCAACGCAGTGGTCTGTTCCGCATCGAGCCCACTTGCGCCGGCTAACTACGAGCCGAAGTATGCGGCGCGATAAATCGACTCCGCAGTCGTCTCCGACTTCGTACTTCAGCGCCAAGCGGTCACCCGCTATGTTCGAGACGCACGACAGGACGCAGTGGACAAGCAGAAGGAGAACGCCGATCAAACTGGCCGCAAAAACACGGCCAAATTTATGACGGACGAACGAGTGCTACTGTCGACGGAAGGTATCAGAAACGCAATGGTTACCAACCTCGGCGCGAACAAACTCGCGCCGCGCTTTATTGGGTCGTTTGCGATAATCAAGGTCATTGGTGCTGCTTACACTCTTGACAGTCCTACGTCACTACGTCTGCGTCCTACGTTTTACGTCGGACGACTCAAGCAATATCACCCCGCTACGATTCCAAAGTCGTCTCAGTCTACTGAGCCGGAGCATGCGTCGAGCGACCTTCTCGACGGGCGAGGCGAGCCATCGATCCATCCGCACCAGGAGTC